AACGATCTGGTGAAACGCTACATTCTGACAGAAACTCTAGTTTTTGACGGTGGCCCATCGAAACGACATTGATTAAAAAATCTGAAACTTTAGAGGCAACTGCTTTTCCAGTTGCAATATTGAACAGACTGTCTTTGTCAACAGTTGAAGCAAACGGGTTCATGTTTTGCTCCAATGTTTTTCGAATCGCAGCAAGAGCTTTTGCGTCTTTTTCAATTCGGTTTTTTTCGAGATGGTGTGACACATCATCTTTTTGAGACATGCCCACGGTTTCAAGCGTATGAGAAATTATTTTTGTTCTCATAGAATGAGTAAAAGCCCAGCGTTGTCTGGCTGTGATTGAGTTGGTGAAGTGACTTATTCCAGTCAAAGAATTAGCTGCTTCAGCGTTCACTGTTTGTTCAAGTGTAAGGTCTACTGGGGACCTAGCCAAAGATTTTTCCGTCCGTTTAACACCAAAAGCACCACGTTTGAATTCGCTCAATAGAGGAGAGTTATCTACTTTCAAAGATACCAGATTACTGAAGTATTTCAAAGACCAACGAGCATAGTTTGGTTGGTTGAATGCAAAGAACATATCAGCCATTTCGAAAATAGAATCCACATAGAGTTCAAAGTCACTGATTCTGATGCTCCTGGAAAATCGGAAGTAAATGTTCACCAATTGAGCATACTGCATATAAAACTGTGCTGTTTTTCCATGATGTCCTTTGAGAGTGATTGAACAGAAATCTTTGTATTTAACAATGATATCTTCTAAAGCAGGAGGTAAGGTCAAGTGTTCGTGACTTTCAAGAGGAACATCCAACACATCTTTCAGATGTGAAACCAACATTTCTGGGAAAACATCACATTCTGACATGAATCTTTCGAAATGCAACATCTGAAGGGCACCAGCCAGAAGAGGATGAATCCTTTTACACCGATTGAAATGTTTCGACTCGATAAACCCGTTTACAGAACCTGCTGCTAAAACCTCAGACTCGGTCAATATGTCGACTATTCCGCAGCCGTCAATAAATTTACCAATAGCTTTAAAAAAAGCCAATTGCAGATGAAAGCCCCCTAAGTTGATGAATAAATTATCCAAAAGAGGACTCTCTAAGCTTTGAATTTCCAACGCAATTTTTGCGATCGCAAGATCGTAAGTGACAATAATTTGTTCTTGCTGGCACTGTTCGGCTACTTTCTTTGACATTAGCAGAGTTTCGTGAACAACACTTAACGAAGTGGGAGAGGAGTTGATTGGAGGCATGTACTCAATGTTTTGAACTTCGCTTACATCTGTTATTATTAAACAATTGTGCCCTGTCCACATTGGCACTTTTTTAAGTTGGGAAAGCGAGAAAACCCATAGCATGTCTCTTAAAACAGCACCTTCTTTCGATATTTTGCAGTTTTCCACAGCCTGTAGTAAAATGTCAGTTGGTAACAATGACAATGTTGCCTTACGCTTGAAATAAGGTGCCATAACTCGAGGAGTTTCTTCGAATTTGCGTCTCTTACGGTGCAAACTGTGTTCAGCAACATGGTCAATATCCAAAAATGTTTCATTATTACCGCAAGATGCTTCAGAAGAATGCAAAATATCGTCAGTTTTGGGAGAGAATTGATATATGATGCCAACTGTGTCATGAAGGGTATCTTTGCCCGTAAAAGTATCGACAAATCTATCAAAATTATCGAATGCTACGTGTGTGGAGAGCCCATTTGTTATATTAATACCAGGTGGTATCAATTCGTTTTCTTCATGAGCCGTGAAAGCCAGTTCAGTCTCCAGCTCTTCAGCAAATGAGTATCCTACAGTGTGACCGTACTTATTTAAAACTGTGAGTACTTTTCTACTACTCGTTAGAGATTTTATTGCTAACCCAAGAGTAAGGTGCTTCGAAGGTTTTACTCTGCCTTTTGTTATAGCATAAATGATGTCACTGCAAATCGAATCAATTTGTAAAGCATCGTGTTCAGATTTCTGTCTACGCGTGTCAGGACCGTTAATCAAATTCGAAATCAGATTATAAAGATCAACTGGAATATCGCACTCTCCAGCAATAATGTCACGAACGTGCAATTTTTCGGGAAGCTTTCTTTTAGCAATTGCTTTGACAGAGTTTCTAACAGAGTAAGCCACATCTTGAATTTTTGTTTCTTCTGCATTTTGAGTAATCATTGCTGAATGTACTAGCTTGCTAACATCAATTTCATGCTTGTAAACAACTTTTTTTTTTTGAAATGAAGGGGACGGTTCAACAGTCAATATGTCACCAAATTCGCGTAAAACTTTCATTTGCAAATGTTCAGCTTTGTAGTTTTTAAAGTCTTCTTTGCAAAATTTTTCATTGGAAATTTCTAACAACAGAGCCTGATACCTCGAAAAAAGATCAGCTAAGAAAAAAATTCTTTCGTTTTCAATGATTTCAACATGAATGAAAGAAGAAAGTGATTCAAATGCAGCTGCATGAATATTTCTTAAATCGTGCCAATCGCCTTTTATATTGAGATTATCAGATAACTGTCTCGAGTACTTGGTTTGATTTAAACTAAAACAAGCTGGATGATAAAAAGTCGTTTTTGAACTTCCTAATTGTTGAAGTAATTTTTTGTTATCCATATTCTCTGCAATTTTTTTTATGCTATCTATTGTACTTTGGGAACTACATGGCCTAGCCTTTACTAGACGAGCACCACTTCTTTTTTGCACGGTGCCGCAAAAAACGCAGTTTTGACGAGGGCTGTCACTATCATTTGGCAACGAAAATGCAAGCGTATCTTCAACGCGCTCATCCGCATCACTACTGATGGTTGAAACGTTCAGGGAAAATAATGCTTCCTCTTGGTGCTTTGGGGTCGATGCAGCGAATTTTTCCTGTTAGAAAAAATTAGTTATGTCAGCCCATAACGAAAGTAATGGTTTCTTAATTTCAACTTCATAAAAACGTCACACACACACAAACACCCACCCTCACACCTCACACTGCTAATATTGTTTATTAATATTTCAACCAAACTTATAAATAAAGTAAAATTTTTTGCTTTGTTGTTTATCAATGATTAATACTCATACAAAACCTTACTATGCAGCTACTACTTACAAAAAGAGATTTTACTCAATTACACTTACATCCATTTTTAATATTTCTTCGAACTCATCCTTGTATTTTTTCTTCAGAACCATGAATTTTGCCTTGCACTCAGGGTGGTAACCGACATTTTGTTGACCAATATCTGGTATATTGATATCGTGATACTTGTATTTTTTTTTCTTCCGAAAACGCAACATACGTGAAACGTTCGTAATTGTAGCAGGGTTGAAGGGAAGTATATTTCCCTTCTTCAAGCGGCACAAAAAACATGTATTTCCTGACATTTTTACGGCATTATATAAGACACTCGCGTCGATTGACATCACGATAGGTACACGTGATTCTATCAAACCAGTCTATGGTTAGCGGCTCTAGCGGGTCTACCCGGAACTCGCGCGCCGTCAAGGTGAAAAAGGAAAAGGTAAAGCCAAAATCATCACGCTGTGCCACTTCCTTGGGTCAGGTAAAATACAGGCACGTATATGTATTCTTGTAGAAAAAATCATGCTCTTTCCATTGAGTACATTTTCAACCTGTTATCACGTGACGGAAATTTATTTGAAAATAGTGTTGAAAAAAAATCGCTGTGCCAATAATTCGCATCAGACAAAGGGGTGGCACAGCTATAGTTTCAAGATGTATTCTGTGAAAGGTGTGTAATGACATACGTTTGAAGTCATTATCAGATCGCGAAAAATTTCCCAGATTACAATAAAAAAATTTAGATATAATAATTACTAAGGTCAAAATAATAATTGGCACAGGTACGGTTCTATCAAAAACTATGTCTTTAGTAACCTTATCGACATACCCCATGTCGTTATCAAATGACGGTCGAATTTTGCAGCCGGCTCTTGGACTATGAACGACGACTACACAACACTATATTGTATTTTAGGTGCATTCATGAGGCTTTCGATTGTAGTAAGATTCGCCCTTAACAATTCTCTCCAGTAAAGTCGTCCCCGGAAAATTAGCCCCCCAAAAAACGTGCTCACATCGCACACGCATAGGTAAATTCGCCTGCGAAATATTACACCTTCAGAATATTCGTTCCCGGTAAATAGTTCCCCAGGACCTTTCGCGCTCGAAAGATTCATTTCGGAAACTTTTTTTTTTGTTCATAAATTGTTCAACTGAAGATTGCTCGAAAACGGAAAGTTTTATCAAACATATAGCTCAGACAAATATTGTAGATAATTTTATGATCTACAATATTTGTTTGAGCTATATGTTTGATAAAACTTTCCGTTTTCGAGCAATCTTCAGTTGAACAATTTATGAACATCCAGCAAGCAGAAGAAATCGAAGAAGACATGACTGTTGAAATAGCATTTGAAGAGTAGGAATAACATTGAAATATTAACAGAAATCAGACTTACGCAGATTAAATCAATCTATATTCATTTCAAAATCAATCATCATGTAGTAAATACAGCATTTTCCCATAAAACTCCGTCATAAGAGATCGCGGAGTAGGCCTACCGGGGAAACCACGTTAAAAAAACCTCACAGGTGGTGTAGAAATGTGTGTATATGATGTAGAGTAGAACGTAACTCCTTCAACTTTAAGAATGGCGATATCTTAGGAATGATGATTCTTAGGAAAACAACTGTAAGGACCATTTTTGTAGATAATTGTGTGATCTACAATTTTTGTCGAAGGTATATGTTTGATATAAATTACCGTTTTCGAGAAAAATCCAAAAAACCGAAAAATTTGGGTCTTTGACCTTGAATAACTTTTTTAGCACACATGGGACCTATGGGGATGTTTATCATTTTATTTCTACTGGTGCATCCAAGCTCTCTACCAAAATTCAGTTCTGTGGAAATTTTTGTTATTTGAAAAGTCTATTTTGACCGGACTACTAATAAAAATTGATTTTCACCAGGGCCGAGGCTATGGCTGCAATACGGTCCTTACGAAAGCTAGAGTGGCATCGATGGTAGTGACGATAGTTTTCGGGAGTGCAAGACGATATGGTGAAGCTCCTGGGAGCGAAGATATTGCCGGAAAATTTTGCAAGGGAATAAAAAATTCCGAAGGCGAGAATTTTTGGAAGAAAATTGTCGCGTGAACCTTCTGGAAGCGAGAGTGAATTTTCCGAGGACAAACTTTCCGGGGACGAATTTACCCCACACGATTTGGACACGTATTACAATCAGTGATTAGCTAAAATGCATTATCATTTAAAGATGAAACCTAATACGTTAGACATCACATATTAAATAAGGAAAAATATGATGAATGTTTGTAATTGTGTTGCCATTATATGAATATCAGGTAAGGCCGCCCTGATTTCGCAGGAAGTACGTATATCTAATCTTGTGTGTAAACAAAAGTTATCTGCGTAAAAATATTTCGAACAAACACACCTTTTGCCTGTATATGTATCTATTTAATTAGCTTGCAAAGTCGATAGGGCAAATGTAGTATAAAGTGGAGTTTACATTATGTGATTTTACCTACGATTTCTCTTGCGAGTTTTCATGTTTTCGGGTCCGATCATACTTATTCGTAATTGTTGGTAGCAAATCGTATAATGTAAACAGAAAATCACCAAAACAACCCCTAACAAACCTCGAATAATACGATACGATAGTACAAAAAATCGTAAGCAAAATCACGTAACGTAAACTGCACCTAAGGGCTGTCGCAGAAGGATATACGGCTGGAAAATAAACGATATTTTGGACATTTTCTATAGGTAATCAATGTGTGGGATATACACTATCGCACGTTACAGGCTCACAGTTTCTGTGCAATGCGAAGTTTAGGACGATCGTTGTAGACACCTGTTTTCACTTTGTTCCGTGGAAATAAATAACACACGGAGGTGCAGAAATATAAGATTAATTTATGGATATAAAGCAAAAGAATAATAATTAAAATTACGGATTACTGGACTAAAATCAAACAATAATCTTTTAAATTCAAAGATGAGAAATATAGTGGTTAACTAGTAACTAATATAAATGTCATGGGTCGAACTGGATGTGATATTTCCGTCGTATATGCGTTAAATTGTGCGCCTATGGTCCCCGAACGTATTTACTATTTGCGTATTCGCGGCGACCCTTACATTTATGTAGCGGAAAATTTCTGAAACACAAAAATCAGTACAATTCTTTTAGTGTATTTCCATAACAAAGTCCCTCTTTGCACACCATTAAAAATTTAAAAACCAGTGAATCGTTTATTTATTTATGCTAATTGAATCGATTGCATAACACCCAGATGTATTATACAAGCGTTACGTGACGATTAATCCTTTATTGGAATCTCCCACGAAATTCTACGAACAAAAACCAAATAGAAGGTATATGGCAAGCGTTTAGCTATTAATCAATTTTTGCGGAGGCGCTCCCAATTTAAGAAGAACGGAATTGAATTGGAACGGCGGCCTTCCTTTGGCTCCAGTGACGCAATACCGTAACGTTTGCGCATAATTTTGCTGGAGGACACTTCAAATGTTTTGTTAATGAAGTCGTTACCGGCAGTTATGTAGTTTATCACGATCTGGGATAGGTCGGGAATAATGGCAGCGTAATTCCGAAGTGTGTCAGTGTCGACAGTAAAATAAATGTGTATGCAAAGCGCTACAAAATGATAGGGATAATAGAAATTGGTAAGTAGGGCCTTATACATTTTTTTAATTCGGTTCATTTAACACATCTCTTTTGTGACAAAAAACATTACCGCACAATTAACAATGCGACGAGGACGTTTACTATCCAACTCATTATCAAAGTGTGTTAATAGTGTTGTACTTTTTCATTAACAAGTTGTCGGTTGGGTGATAATTACAAAGGCTTTCACATTTTATAATTTCTGTAGGTCTTAGCGATGCCAGAATTAATATTTTTTGTAATTTTAGACACAACCCCCAAGTTGCCCATCATCCGATTAACCTGGAACACAACATTTAAAAAAATATATTTTGTAAGCGTAAAATTAGAACGTAGATATTTTTGTAACATATAACACTTCTTCTAAAAACATAAGTCCATTCATTTTGTACAAAATATATAAAATAAAAGAGAGACCGTTTAAAAACTGAAAAAATGAAAATTTCATGGTTAAAATAAACTGTGTAATTTGCAAAACCAGATTTTTCAAGTGAAATTTATGAAATATCGCCCACATCTGGATACCTGAAAACTGATTTAGACATTTTGTGTTGTTGTGTTTGTGTTGTCTCAAAAATTTACATTCATAATTTTGTTCATCTTTTTCGGATTATGCAGAGGGTAACAATTCCTATACGAGTGAGTTTTTTCGATTTCGGAAACTAGCAAAGATAGAGAAGCGGTTAAATGAGGAAAGAATTATAGTTGTATGAGTATGAGCACTTTTGATTTTTGGAAGCACTTTAAAAATGGTTTGTAGTTTTAGAATGGAAAGATCGCAAGTCCAGATCTCTAGTTTATATACCTAGTCAAATTGCCATAACGTTATCAATTTTAGTCTTTAAAAAAAAGTGGGTGTATCAAGTCACCTCGTGTGTCTGATTTATTCCTTTACAAATATCATTTCACAAGCTTTAATGGGCGACAAGATACACAAAAATGCTTTTTTAAAAATAAAAAATGGTATTATCCCTTCATACAGTAAAAAAAAACACAAAATGTTCCGATTACTTTCAGAGATATCCGCAAAAAGCCGAAACTTTGCAAAATCGTTTTTATTTTTTACTGAAGTTATTTAAAAAGATATTTCGAAATAAATGATACTTTTTTATGGCCACTTTTGTCCCTCTATAAGATGCTACTTTTAAATTTTAAGTTTGACGTTTCGTCTCCTGTCAACCATCATCAACTTTATTTTTTCTTATAGAAGTAATTTTTACTTTTTGTGTCATTTGATGGAGAATTTTTTTCTGATTTCAAAAATGTAAACATCACTATCTTTTAATCATAAATAGCGCTATTAATTTGTAAAACGCAAGAAACTACGTACGTACACTATCTAAGACAAAGTTTTCTAGGCAAAAAAGAAAATATTTTACTAATTAAAAAAAATTGTGATGTTTATATTTTTGAACTCTCTTTTGAAATCTCTATCAAATGACCCAAAAAGTAAATATTACTTCCATAAGAAAAAACAAAGTTGATGATGATCAACCGGAGACGAAACGTCGGATTTAAAATTTGAAACTAGCATCTTGTAGAGAGAAAAAAGTGGCCATAATAAAGTGTTATTTATTTCGAAATATCTTTTTTATTAAACCTGAATCGCAATCTCCGTTTTAAACACTCAAATGCGTGCGAAAAAGGCCTTTAAAACACACGTGCTTTAAAGTAATGATACTTCAAGTATAACTTTTGAAACTGTCATCTGGATGAAATAAAAAATCTCTTAGGTCGCTTTCTGTAAATGCAGAACATTTCTTTGGCTTGTACCTATCCTTTGGTTGAAGCTTTTCACAAACGCGCGTAATTTAGGGTATGCTTCCAAATCTGTTCCACTTTTTAATCGCAGCATTGTTTGAAGTTTTGAATGAATGCACCAAAAGATAGAAGATTTAAATACCTTTGACATTTCCTTCATATATGCCAGCATTATCGATGCATTTAAGACTTTATTCGTAAGTAACTTCCTATTCATCCATGGAAACAACTTTTCATATTCTTTATAATAGGCTTTGCTGGATTTGGATTTTACACCTACCAACGTTTGTTTAGATTTTACAAGTGATTTAATAGACGGTGTATTATCTCTTTCAACGGAAATCGTTTTATTCACAAAGTCGATGATTTTTATAAGCAAACGTCAAGTGACATTTCCATGGTAATCGTGAAATTACGAACACCCAGTCCACTTAATTAGATATGTATTCGAGTATAACGTCAATATGATAATTGTTATTTACAATTTATAGAATTAAAGATTATTATTATTATTACATGATTTCATTGTATTTCCACACACGTGTATAATTGGTCTTTAAAGCACTTGCAACGTTAAAGGCACTCCGCTTCGCGTCGTGCCATTAACCTCATTGCGCGTGCTTGAAAGACTTGATTATACACTTGTATTTTAATAAATAACTTCAGTAAAAAATAAAAACGATTTTGCAAACTTTCGGTGTTTTCCGGATATCTCCGGAAGTACTCGAAATTTTGTAAGTTTCAACACTGCATTTTGTTAAGCATCAAAATACGCAGCATTGCCAAATTTAAATTACCTACCTGTCTCTCACAGTTCCCGAGATCTCCATGGTTGCCCTCGAATTTGAATCAGCCTGTATACTATCTTATTTTAAAATTTCGGCTGTTGTTATTTTATGTTTGTGATGTTCATAGTTTTATACTCACTTTATATGTTTAGGGTGGATTGTTTATATTCTGAACTAGCAGACTCGGCGAACTTCGTACCGTCCATCAGTCAATGTTCCGCTCCTGGATGGGACATAAACTTGGCTTTATGGATATTTTGTGAATGTATAGCGGGTTAGGTTGGTAGAACAGCTTTGGCTAAAACCCCACCTACTTAAAATAGAGACCAATAATTTAAAAAATCAATCTACAAAATATTTTAAGACTTATTTGCCAAATTAGTTTTCAAGTAAAGCGGTATTCCTTATAATAAACATTTTTAGTAATTATTAATTAATAATTATTCAACTTCATTCTAATAATAGTACCTTATTGATGATGAGTTTCTGATTCTCTGACCTATTAATGATTCGATACATTTTAACGATCGCGGTGGTGATCAAACAAGTCGAGGTCCTCTGTACAGCAATTAGCTAAGAATGATACAGGAATAGCGCACGCGAGAAGCAGATTGTTTGAACACTAACTTTCAGCTTATTTTTGAAGTTACGAGTGTACAGTGTATCTATTTTTTGTACCAAATCAATTTCAGCGTTTTCGATTTCGATGTTATGTCACCATAAACACTTGTTATGCTATATCAAACCGCTTTGACAACAGAGCTTTGGTTCCATCTTATTAGCCACTCTATGTAAAGGTTGTCCTATTAATAAAGGTCACATGCCGTATCTATGGAACAGTTAATTGCACAACTTACGGAAAAACATTTTGTTAACAAGAGACCAAGAGATATCGCTGGAAATTAGGTTCAAGTATCTAGGTTTCCCGTTAGAGGGCGTACAATTCATGGTTAAGTAGCAAAAGGATGTTTTTTCCTAAAATATACCTAACAAACATGCATACAAAATACATGCATCGCAAAAATAATCTTGGATGTGTGGCGCTCATTATACTGTGACTATTGAGTAAACACTAGTGTTTTTAGTGAATGCTGTGACATATTGTGTTTTTTTCCTTTCAGTAATTTGTTTCGTCCTTTGATGATTCTCCGGTGTTTGTATATTAAAAGTAAGCTGTATGATTTCAGAGATCAAGACATTGAGCACTTCAGGTACCGGTTCAACTTTCAACAAATTTCTTTAATTGTTGGAAACTGACAATAGTTTTTCGACTTGATCTCTCGTCGAATAATAGCCGCTGTAGTTTTGATCACTCTCATTTCCTCCCGAGCTTCGTTCTAATTTCTATACCAGTTGTCTGATAACATATTAGTGCTTCCAGAAAAACAAATCACATTTCTTTTCCCTGGTAAAGCTGCAAAATTCAAGCTGGATAAGTCTTATTTTCAAATGTAGCCAGTATATGGCTCAACTTTGGGACCTCGTTGAAGGAACATATTTTGTAATTCTCCAAAGCGTCTTCTCAGCGCTTGAACTAGGAGTGCTTTGTATAAAAGACACACGTATCTAATAATTTTTTTTGCAATGACTCATTTTGAGAACAATTAATTTTACCGATTTCTTTAGACTAGTTTAGACAGTACCTGTATCTCAGGTGCAGAATTGTCTTGACAACTTTTAAAGCAGTTGATCTCTATCGGCTTCACAGTTTCCTGTACCTGAGTTAAGTAAATTTACACACTGTAAACTTCTAAATGTTCTATAAAACTGAATCGCCGTCAGATTTATGCAATTTTCAAGACAATCTTGATTTAATTTTTGTGTAAATAGATCATCAAATCCTGCAGTATCACAGATGTAATTAAATAAATGTATGGAATGTTTTAACAGGACATTTTTTTATCAGTGTCTTAGAAGTTTGAGCATGAGTTGTCATTTAGTTTGTTTACAGTACTCGGTTAAATTTTGCATTGAAATGGAATGTCGGCGCATTTTGCATTTTACGGAACGTCAACGTCACGTCACCGACCGGCAACGTCACATAAAAATATTGTATTATAAATTTCTGATCGCATTCACATAGAGACGTAACGGAACGCACCGTCACCGTTACGAACCGTCGAGATAAGTTTCAAACATGTCTTTGACGTGACGCTAATGCTAATTTTCTTCTATTTAATCTGGGTATGATAAGAACAGATGGTCCAGCATAAAAAATCCAATCGCAACCAACCTAAGAAACTATTGACGTAAAGTGTGAATTGGCAGCAAGATTTACGTGACGTTGCCGGTCCATAATATGCGAATCGACCTTAAACTTAATTGTGGACAAATTGTGCGCATGTAAATTCAGTATCGCCCGGTATGAGAAAATCTAGACTGGAATTATTAACAAACCGATTTTAAGTAAGTACCGTATCGACAGTATCCGTGACTTTTCCTTAACCTACCGATCGCGACCGAGAACGGTCACTTGATGCGACACCGTTGTCTTTTCTGCATAAACGAACATCGTAATTTCATACCCATGTACAAAACATAAACAGTTCCAATGTTCCAAAATAAACCTTTTAAGAGAGATAGTGCAAGGGGGATTTCTGTCACTGTCATTCATTGGGAAACTGATCATTAATATAAATTCAAAACATATCAAATAGGCTGCCCTATGTATGCGCGAGAGTAGGACAGAGATCCCCCTTGTGGCCCTCTTTCTCGGATCGCGCTGGCCGAAGGAGCGCGTCGTCCAGTTTAATTATAGTTCAGTGGTATTTAAGTATTTCGGTAAAATACTAATAACGCGGCGTTAGTTTTTTTTCGAACTCGTTTTTTGTGCAAAACAAGTGGCACCAACAGCAAATAACCATTGCAATAACAAATAATCATAAACAATAAGGACTTAGGCAAGTAGTAGGTATATAGGACATGTCGATCCCTTTCTCTTATGTATCTTGGGCTATTAGTGTACAAAGTTTCTTTGGGCATGAAATAAGTCAAAGGTATCTTGTGCATATCAAACACCATAACAAACTAACATAAGCTTTTAAAATAATGCTACGGAGTAACAATATGTTTCATTTACAACAAATAAAGTTTTATATAGCAGAATTGACGATGGGGCGTACGCCTTCCAAGTAATTTTCCTAGTTCCATTATGTACAGGGTGTTTCAAATTCATGGCTCACCATTGGGATCTCCGTAACGGTGAGAGATACAGTGTAGGTGAAATGGGTCCCTTTTTATGATTAAAAAAAACGCTTATGACATTTTTGAAAATAACTGAGATATCACTGAAAAACTGAAAATGTCAAATTTCGTTTTCATTTTCCCTAGCTTAAATGATTAGAAATGGACAGTTCCCGTTAGCACGTTCTATGGGCTCTTTTGTTTGGAGAATCTGAATCCCCCCATGAGGAGTCCGTGACGTCGTAGTTGTGCGCCATAGTGTGAGAAGCTAAGGGATTCCGTTCGGAAAATTCCATGCAGTTGTTTAACATACTTGTTACCACTCAGCAAGTAAAAGAAATCCTTGGGAACAAACTAATAGCTGATTTTTCTAATCGATGTTGATCAATTTTTGTTGGGTCCGAAGGTAATTTTATTATGAATTTCCATATTGTGGGATGTTTTTGATTAATGAGATGAGAAAACCGATCATTCCAGCCTTCTGTTTGTTTGTTCGGTCTGCATCATGTAGCGTTGTGCTACGAACTTTGTGGGGAAGTTCGTCACAAACGGATGCTTTGAAATAATAAGAACAAGTACAAATTGTGCACAACCCTTGTGCAGGTAAAGCGCATTTTTTTAAAACACTCCTACGAAATTTCTTCCATAAATAAGAAAGTTTGCACTGCGCATGCGCAAAACCAAATTTTGAAACTGGTGTTAAATTTGGTTTTATTCCAACTGGCAATGTATCAAATTTTATTTAAATGCCCAATGGTTGTATTTCTTCCAAACGTCACAATCTCCCTTCCTTGGACACCACTAAAGGCATGCGTATGCAAAATTTGAGACCAATTGGTTGTCGTATGTAAAAGTTATGCACGTTTTACTTTCAAAAACAGCATCTCAGGAAATAATTCGTGGGGGCCCCCCTTTTAGACAGCGAAATTTAATGGCCGTCTGGCACACCTTCAAGGTATAGGCTACCTACTGCAAAAAATTCCAGGACTCTAGGACCATTCCCCTAGCAGTAGTTTAAAACGGTAGAAATGGGTCCGGACGGACGGACGAACAAAGCGCAAACAATAGCATTTTTTTTTAATTCTTAAAAAATGCACTAAAAATTAGACGAAATATTAAAAAATGAAATTTAATTAAAGCAAAAAAATTAAAAAAAACTAATACTTGGGATTATTAAAAAACTAAACAATTTGGTGCAAACGGTGTTGGTTTGACGGACAGACTCAAGCGCCACCAGAGGGTGGCGGAAACGACCTTGCCTCGGGTCAAGGTACGGTGCGGTGATTGCGATATCGGTTGCCTCGGAGTTGGAGGACCGGTACTCCAGGATTCGGCAGTCCAGCAATTAATTGCGGCCACTGACGAAAAAATCTAAAAGCAAACTTAAGCACACACGGGCAAATGGCGGTGGTCACGTGTTAATTAATCTGACAGCAAAAACTAAAGCACACAACAACATTCTGGAAAAGCGAAATAATCCTCCCCTGCCCCTGTCTTTAAAATGAACAGAATGCTTACCTTTAGAAAATTAACGGAGTGAAAAAAAAAACAAATTACCGTGCAATTAGCTGCAAAAAACGGTGCGGTGAACTTAAGGCCGAAAAAAAACTAAACGGAACGTTAAAGCAAAGCTCACAACTAATAATATTTTAACTATTGAAAGGATGCAAAAGCGTTATGAAGAAACTAGTTTCAAAAGAAAATTCCGGAAATTACAAACGACAAAACGGCTGTAGAAACTAACTCATAGAACGATCACCAATGCTTTCGACGAGTTCTTCATGTGATAAAACGCCTCTATATACAGGGCGTTCATGTGCAGAGTGGTCAATAAAAACCTGTACCAGTTATCTATTATCTGTTTCCTAAGCAAAAATATGGCGAAAATACACACATTCACATTAATTGTCAAGTTGCCTTGGAAACAAAAGAACACATAACAAGCGATAATTACGTCAAAGAAGTGAATGAGACGATGGCAACTCAAAACTAACACTCAATATAAGTTTTTAAATTACACAAAATTATTGAAACTTTAAATCAGAGAAATATAAATTAAATAATAAAAGAAACAATAACAAAAATTATAACTAACGTAAATGTTCAAACTGTCTGCCGTGATTTTCGATATTCTCTGCTGGGTAGAGGAGAAAAGGATCATATCCGCTCTTGTAGTTGGCCTTGTTTGAAAGACTAGATCTTTTATCCTCTCCCACAAATAAAAATCTAAGCATGTTAGGTCGATCATGGAAACATACTTCCTCTTCCTATTCATTTGCAAGGATACCGCAAATTCAAATAATCTCGCATATACACTAATGTATTAAATAAAAAACTTAAAATAAAATTTAAAAAAATAATGAAACATTCAACTAAAAAATTACAAAATTAACAAATTAATTTAAAAAAAAGATATTTATAGGTGGCCTCTTCCCCTGTAAAATAAAAAATCAAGTTCTACATTGCAATCTTTTAACTTATCATGATGTATTTCGCTTCTTTTAGCTATGTTTCTGTAATAAACAATTAGTTAGTACACTGTAATTATTATAATATTGTCATACCTTATTGGAGACTACAAAATAGGATCTTTAAGGCGGCCCTTTCGCGACTATCGTTTTATTCTATTATATTGGGGTCTCTGAAAAAATAGAAAAATAATTAATAGTCACAAACATACTGAAGTTCATGTCGAAAAGTTTCAATTCGCGAATGCTTACGTTGATAATAAAACATGTTTTCGCTTTAGCTGGAAATCCAACTTGTCGTCACTGAACTTTTAAAGATTCATCTGTGTTCATTATAATCTCTTTCTTTGTCTCATTCTCTTAATTTGCATACAACACTGCAATAAGATTCCCGTCAATTGGTACTGTAATACATACTATGAAAGTCTTGTAAATTGTAATGCATAAGTTGGTTTATGGCAGAAAAAGAACGAATTATATTTTTTCATATTTATAGACGTGTTATTGCTAAAATTGTTTATTTAGTTGTTTACAAAGTTCTGTAACCCTCATAAAAAGGAAAATGAAATGTGTATTATAACGACTCTTAATTGATTTTTGTTGTCGTATGGCCATTCTTGTTTTTATATCGTTTATTCAAAATAGAAACGAGTGCAACGTAGAGTGTGTCCTTCGTGACATACATTTATCATCGATCTGGAATTCGTGAGTTAAGCGTATGGGATAACATTGTGTACAGACATGCAAACTTGTAGCGGATGTGCGATATATCATCTTTGCGCTTATATCGACGTGTAAATTGTAACGCTTTAACAAGGTTGAATGTTAACCTAGGTTTATTGTTTTAGGGATGAGAAATGCATAAAATGGAAGAAAATAGTTTAATAGTCGAGAGCAATGGCAACCATTACAATGTCGTGGACTTTCTCAAGAATCATCCAGGCGGGCGTAATTACGTTGAATTTTCCAAAAATCAGGATGTTGTCAGCAAAATGGAGAAAACTCATCATTCCAAATCAGCATTTTATTTGTTACGGGAATATAAAGTTGGAGGGCGTGACGAAAAAAATAACAACGGCGAAGAAGACTTAGAGGTGAGTTCTATTGGTAAAAATAGTTCATTTACTTCCATAAAAAAAGTACGGATCATCTTGTGGTGCTCTTTGCTTATTTTCATTGCATTGTAGGGTTTTTTTTTGGTGTAATTTGCCACAGCGGTTTTATGAATCATGCCTGAAAGGAACAACACTTAGTGCTAATGCCGTATTTATGCCTAGTAAAAATGCAATTCTTGTGATGTTGGTCCCCCATTCAGTGCACTATCAATCTGAAACAAAAACAAACAACAAATTAACCTTACCTTGGTCACTATCACCATTTGAATTCGGCTTGGGAAAATCTCAAAGGGTTGATTGATCGTGCCTACCTGAAAAATTACGAAGATTAATAGAATAAAATTTGTGCATACTCCATTAAACGTTAATATATTAATAATCGAAACTTCTTACCGTTTAAAGTACTAACCTATTATATATTATTATTTCAGAAACTAGTTGATTGGAACAAGCCAATGCTCTGCCAAGTGGGTAGCCTTGGAAGTAGATATATGGAATGGGTCACTTCACCTGTTGATCGAAAATTAAGATTATTCGCGAACCCTCTCATAGAGGGGCTTAGCATAACACCTTGGTATGTTGTCCCACTCGTCTGGACCCCCATTATTTCCTACATGATTTATTGTGGTAGTTTGCACTATATAGAAGTAACATCAGGTATGTATATCCTGTTACGCTTTATTTTTGTCCAAGAATTTCGTGCGCTGGTGACTGACCTATCTGTGGAAATTGTCCAGTACGCGAGCCTCGAAATTTCTGCTGTTTGTTATTTGGAATGCATCTTTTCAGATCCATGTCCTATTGTGCCTGTTATAATCTTTTTGTGCCTTGGAATTTTGATATGGACTCTTTTTGAATACTGTCTGCACCGATGGGTGTTTCACATAGAACCATCGGGATCTTCACAAGTATTGATTTATGTACACTTTGCTATGCATGGATTACACCACAAGGTAAGTTAAGTACCCAACAAGTGTTTCTGTAACTAATATTAATTTCTATGTGCTACCGATTGGACATTATAATGTTTTGTATTACCAAATGTCATACAAAGTACAATAATAATGTTAAAAAAATGGCGAAACAACGAAAAAATTATTCCGATGCGCAAAAAATACGCAGTATTTCTTGAAGTTGTTGGTTAGGTAAATATTGTTTCGAATGTGGAGGTTTAGTTCGCTTGTGAGAAGAGATGGCTGGTGTGAGTGGGACATCAATACAAATACAGCACTGGAACTTTATTAAGAGACTGAAGAAAGCGAAAGCGGCAGGAAGGCATCAAATAAGAAATGAGGTATTGGATTTTCGCCACAGATAGTATCAAGGAGAAGCCGAGGAAACGAATAAACATATAGAATGGTGGATTACCTACTAGAGTGGAAGGAATGGGTAATCGTAGCGATTTACAAAAGAGGTGTATGGGAAATTGTAGGGGAATCATTGCGATGGTGTTGAATGAAAGGTTAGAAAGAAATGTAGAAGAGAAGAGGATGTTAGAGGATTCAGAAGAAGAAAATCGATTGTTTATATGTACAGGGTGGGCAACTAAGAATGCGAGGTACTGTATCTGAGAATCTATCCATCGTAGAGGCTTGCGGTAAAAAATTTATTACTAAAACGGCCACGAGCAAAACCTGGAAAATATTTTTAAGTTTCTGAAATGACCGCTAAGGGGCGTAACTGCAATCTGGAATTTAAAAAACTGATGTTTCTGTGAATTCCGCTACATTAACCTAACGGTCTTTGAAGATATAAAAATATACTCGAAGATATATATCTCTCTCAAGATATCGAGATGCGGTTTTCGCGAGCTTGTTTAGGCATCATTTAGCTACTTTTTCATGAAAAAAAATCGAACCAACGCATTTAATTTTTTTGAGAAAATTAACCATTTCTGTCGGAATGTCGAAAAAAGCCCTCAAGCGGCGATATGTGAAACTAACAAAACTTCAAATAGTATTTGTAGCCAAAGAATAACATTTTTACCCGAGTTTGTTAAAATCGGTTCAGTCATTTCGAAGATATAGGATGTTCTTTACGGAAACCTTTGAATACCCCCCCCCGCCCTCACCACCACTTCATTTTTAGAGATACAGGAAAAATTATCAAACAAAAAAGGTTCAGATTATCGTCGTCTTCAAAGGCCGCACATTTTTTTGTTAGGTTAATATAGCCGAATTCACAGAAAAATCACTTTTTTAGATTCCAGATTGCAGTTACGCTCCCTAGCGGCCATTTCAGAAAAAAAATTTCCAGGTTTTTTTCGTGGCCGTTTTAGTAATAACTTTTTTTACCGCAAGCCTCCACGATGGACAGGTTCGCAGATACAGTACCTCGCATTCTTATTTGGCCAGACTGTACTGAGAAAGAATTGAAAAAAGATAAGGTTAGCGTTGGGGCGCATAGCTGTAAGATTCCAGGAAAGGAGAGAAAGTGGATTGGTGAAAGAATGTTTGTCAACAAGGATAAGCACAAAAGGAAATTAGGGGGAACAAATATTATGAAAGAAACTGATACGGAGCAGCTAAGGTCGAAAGGAGAGAAATAGAGGAAGGGATGGAACAACTTAAAAACCTATATACAGCTGCAGCAGCAGAGACAAAATCGAGGATTCACGAGGACACAGAAGGTACAAGTAGCTAATAACGGGGAGGGTTCCGAAATAGGTAAGGGAGGGAAAGAAAAACATCAAGCCAGAAGAAAAGAAATACAGACTATGTAGAGATAAAGACGAAAATATTCACCACCTGATATGGGAATGTAGAAAGAACAGAGCAGAACATAAATGCTGGATTAGGGTGGAAGAGAAGAAAAATGGAGACGCTCTTTGGGCTCTTCGAGCCTCTATCAACCTCACTCCCTACCCGCCGCAGCACACCCGCTATTCAAACTGCTACCCATGACAAATACATTGACAACAGCTCGTCGTTCCGTCCAATCCATTTATTCTGAAATTCTGAGGCAGAACGGTGCTGTATGGTGGTGCGCCATCGTATTGGTAGCAGATCAAGTTTTTCTTGTCGCCAAGTCCACATCGTCTAGGAAACCTGGTATTAAGTTTCTTAAAGAATCGAGTAGCGTTTGGCTGTTAATGTATCGGTTTTCGTTGTGCTGTGACGTAGACATCACCTAGAAACCTAGAAAATGCTAGACGAGGCTGCGCATCTCCATTGTGTAATGTTTGACCAACGGCTAATTTGTACTTTGCACTGGGACGCCTTATGACCGTTGAATAAAACAGTACTCATTTTTTTACTTTTTCTTGATGACAATCCGTTAAACAAATACAAAAAAATGTAAGCAAAAAAATCCGTCTTTTGATCACCCAAATCTATGCGTGACATATGTGTTATGATATCACACAGTAATGGTACCAAATATGTAATTCTGTGAAAATGACACTCTATTGAAATTCTGTACATAAAAGTTTTACAAAACACAGCTGTTTGCATGCGATCATTTATTTCGTATGACATGGTTGGCAACAATGTATTCACAATCACACCTATATACCAAGTTGCAAGCCTCTAGAACAGGGGTCGGCACCACCATAGTTTCAACGTGTCATTTTTTTAACCAATTAAAAAAATACCTTTAAGCGTGTCACTAAGTTTTGTTTAAACAAATAATTAATAAAAAAATCAGTATGTGAAAATACATTTATTAAATGAAACACTTAAGACGAATTTTTGCATGTATACATTTGATGATTAAACTAACATTGAGTATTTACTATGTCGGAAATATTCGGCTGCAAATTTAGAGTAAGATGGGTACAGTATATTTCGCTCTGCTCCTCCGCGTGTTTTCTAAAATGTCATAATTTCCCGACCCCTGCTCTAGAACCTACCGTTCAGTTACATCGAACGAACGGACGACAAAGGTACGATTTCAAGGAACTGGTTCTGAACCTGGCGGACTTAAAAGTTAGAGAAATCAATATCTGTACCTTTCGGATTTACCTGTAAGTTAATAGTTATTTATTATATAAGACGATAAAGGGACATTTTAACCATCAAGTGAAAGATGTTAATTCACGAATAGAGCAGTTAAAACATTTTATTTTATAGCAGAAGCCATGTAAATCATTATAAAGCTTCTGACAATTCTGAATTTAATCGTCAAAAATAACAAGCTTAGGTTCTGCCGTCGCGGTCGTTTCCATAGAAACAGCACTGCAATATGTTCTGAACATCTTTTTATATCGTGTTCCGCGTCCCATATAAATAAGAACGACAGATGCTATTAGAATGCATAATCATGTTTTACTTTATCTACCCTCACGGTTAAAGAGCGACTTCGTATACTCATTCTAACCTAATACCTGTAATTCAATTTAACATCTACTATAAAATAAAGTATATTACCTAGCTGTTTCGATTTCGATGAACTTTGGGTTCTGCGATTGTGGGCGCCAAATGTATGTTAATATTCACTGGATGGGCATTGCACTCGAATGGTAGCTGTGGAAAAAAATTAAAGACAAAATGATTAATTAGCGGAAAGAAATGCAAGAGTCGTGTAAAATACTTACCTTTGGGGGCCGGTTTTCATGTGTTCGTTAAATTTATCTGATAGATAACCTCCTAAAGCCAATTTTTTCCATGGAAACTGTCAGATTAACGGTAATCTGATAAACCGACCCTGACTAATGGGAAAATAGTAAATTTCATATTAGGGGACATCTGATTCTGTACAAGGGGTTCCGATTTCGACAATCCAAATTTACGATACTGGCGATTTGTAGATAAACTTTGAAATGCAAATAAAATTACTTACTGATAGTTACGGATTTCCAATTACCAATCGACAGAACATTTTTGTTTCTAGTAGATCGACAATTATTGCGGTAACTAAAACCTCACTAAGATTTGGCTAATTAATGTTAAATGAATACACCGGTAAGAGTCATAATACGATACATATCAGTCTTTCCCTCTCTTTGTACAGGGTGTAAATCGAAAAGTGGAACAGGCGTTTAACATGGGAAATTACTTTTTGCGCAAACGTTTCCTAATTATTTTACTCAAAAATACTTCAAATTCTGCATGTAAATCATGTGAAACGATTATTCTACCTCTTCTTGTACGCGAAGAAATTAATTATAAAGATTCTGTTTTCACGAGTTTTTAGTCATGGACTATGATAAAAGAAAAACATAGTCCATGGCTACTTGGACTAAAAACTCGTGAAAACAGAATCTTTATAATTAATTTTTTCGCGTACAAGAAGAGGTAGAATAATCGTTTCACATGATTTAGATGCAGAATTTATATCTCTATAACTTTTATTTGAAGTATTTTTGCGTAAAATAATTAGGAAACGTTTGCGCAAAGAAAAAGTAATTTCCCATGTTAAACGCCTATGTTCCACTTTTCGATTTACACCCTGTACAAGGACGTTAACATCATAAAACTGGACGTTTAGAACAGGCTTAATCCACCTGGATATTTACATCGTCAGGGATTACATCAAATGTTTCGTACTCAATGCTTGCGTGATTTAATTATTAACGTGGCAATTGTGGTTGTGAAATTCCACAACTTTGAGCTAAAGGTCTCAAGGTCGATTGGAGCATAAAACCTATTATTAAATTATGAAAAAATTCCATTGGCATTCCTAGTGCTCTGAAAACGTGCACACAACATTCTGTTACCATCATATTAAGAATATTTTTAAAGTTGTTAGCTGCTAGGAATAGACATTTTAAGAGTTCCATCACTTTAGTAATAAAAGTTTTATAGGTGCCTTTCGATTCGACGAGACTGGTTTTCCCACCTGCCCCCGCAGCACTTATCGGCGCCGTATCATACAATGTACTGAAGTTAGTACTTCCATCATCAATTAAACTATTGGTATTTGGAGGTGGGCTATTAGGTGCGGATAAAATTTATGAAATTTTCTAGGAAAACTGATATATCGTTTTACAGGTTACGTCATTTATGATATGATTCATTTTTACTTACACTATGGAGCACCAGAAGAAGGGACGATCCTCTACACTATGAAACGTCATCACAATCAACACCACTTCGCTCGTCACGATAAAGGTACATTTTCGACGGCGTCAAATAAGAGCGCCGAATTTCAATTCCATTTCCCTTTTTGATTGATGCCATACAATAACATTTCATATTCCTTAAATGGTCAACTTCTGCGCTCTGATGGATTTACTAGCAAGTTTTTGTGTACTTATTGATCTCTTGTAGGTTTTGGGATCAGCAACCTGTTCTGGGACAGAATTTTCGGAACATTAATACTTTTAAGAAAATTAGCGTTTGGAATCAAGTGGGGAAAACCGATTAAAACAAGCTAACCTTCGTTGTTGTGTTCGTATCCGCCAGCTAGTTTGCGACGTTGTTTAATTATATTTTTATATCGTTTCGTATTATTAAACTTAACATAGAGCGTTCCTACGTTTTGTTTTTGGTTTTCGTACATCTATGCATAAGTGAGAAGGCTTGATGTCTTAATAATAGCTTTGCTATATTTGTGTACTAAACGCTGTGTAATCATAGTAGTACTTACGAGCTTACAAATTGTTTGCCAGGTGTCGAAAAACCATAGTATTTCTTGCATTTTTTACGAGGTCGTTTTTACATTTTCGCTCTGGCAGCAAGTGAGAATCTGCCGGAGCGATCAAGTGGTATGTAATACTACTGAATTTATTTGTACCATCCCACAAAATACAACGGGTCAAATTTCAGAAGGTGGTAGTGTTTAAAGCGTAGTTTCAACTTTTGGGGGGAATTCATTCTACAGTCTTTTGCTATGCAAGTAATACTAAACCGTTGCGTCTTGAGTTGTTATTCACCTATCGCCTCCAGAAGTTGGTCAACACCCATAATCTACTACAGTCATTTACAAAATTCAGTATTATTACTATTAATCAATTTGGGTTTGGCTGTATTCTTTCGAGTCTTGATGTGAGCTAGTCTAAATGTGTTGATATTAAATTTTTATATTGTCTGTTACGCGTAATGTTAAAGCTTTTATAAAATCATTTTTAAATTGTTAGATTTGCAGTACAAATTGTTTTACAGTAATTTATAATGTTAAATAATAAAAACTTTTACTTTGTTTTTCGTCATGGTATTTATTTAGATTTGGTAGTTTTGTTTTTACTTACAGTGGCACACACAATCTGAGGCGCGCCTATATATGTGTTTATGTTTATTTATTGCATGTATTAGCTAGATATAAAACAACATAAGATACAGTTATAATATTAGAATTATTGTTGTCTTCTAAATGGTCGAGATGCTCGGGCGCCATAAGATAACGATTTTGGTCCAGTGGTTAGTCTCCGGAAAATCGGCGGCAAATACAAAAGCTCCATTTTGTGCAAGCATTCGCTGCGACTTCATCGTGGGTTGGGTCGGCAAAAAGATTTAGATGCAGACAGGGCGCCAGAAACTGTAAATTAACCCTTAACCACTCGAATTTTGATATATGTGTTCCCTGAAACAAAAGTAAGAGTTTTATTTTACAAAATCTTTATTTTTACAAAGCATGTGATGTGACATACCGGATTGCATATTCCAAAACCCTACATATGCAATTAACATGTTGACTTAGAGGGTTTATAATAACACCAATCGAAAAATCTATCTGAGAATCTAATGATATACGAATTAGTTAATTGCCAGTTGTATTTCTCATTATTTTATCAAACCGGAGAGGCCTCTTCGGTTTCAGAACCCCTATTTAACAAATAGTAAATTACAAAATATTTGAACCAGTAGTTTATTAAATAGTAATACATTTCATTAAAGCAATGGGTTTCCCTTGTCGACTTACAGCCGTCCAACAAGGACTACAACGAGGTGCCTGTGTAAGGTACTTGTAGCAGGGTGTCTGCAATTCGATCGGAGACACTGAAACAACGAAAACGTTGCCCTTCGCATCATCGATCTCCACAACCACGCCTTGACCACCTAAAAGCACAGAACTATGTAAAATGTAGTCGATACATACGATACCTGCTCCGATCGACGAACGTTTTCCCGGAAACTTGTAGTTTTTTGGATTGTTAACCAACCCCCAAGACGAATCGGCTGTCTGGTACCTTTTTTCGCTCTAGCAGAAAACGGTTCTTTTTTAGCGCATTTCCAAAATAAAAAAAAGATGAGATGCTACTAGTTCTTTATCTTAAGAGCTATTGTTCTACTTTTTTCGCTATTTGGTTCGTTATGGTGTCGAGGCTTGCACCAAGGAAGGAATTTTTTCTGCGTTTATTGCTGAAAAAGTTATTGTAAAAAAACCAACAAACCGTTTTTTACATATTCCATAATTTTACCCTTTTGCCGTTTATTAACGATCCTAGAGATCATTTATAATGTTGTATTGTCTGTCGTCTGTCTGTTGGTCTGTCCGTCTGTCCCTTTATCTGTGTGAACGATAACTTTGTTTAGAAATCTCCGATCGCTTTTACATCTCCGTTAGTTATGAACTGAATTGCATGAAATTCAATATGGGCATAGCCTTTCCATATAATACGCAATGCCAAAAGTTGAGTCGAATCGATTCAAAATCCACAGTGCCCGTTTCGCATCTCGATCATTTATAAACCGAATTGCAAACTTTTTTTCTTACAAAGGTATTTGAATGAAATTTGATACATCTTGGAATAAAGGAAAATCCGAGGGAAAATCAAACGCCAGTTTCAAAATTTGGTTTTGCGCATGTGCAGTGCCAACTTTTCTATTTATTTCGGAAGCATTTAAGTGAAATGTGATACTTAGGCGCTTAGAACAAACAAAATCTAACATTAGTTTCAAAATTTAGGTTTGCGCATGCGCAGTTCCGTACGTGGGGATGAGTTTGATTCACTATATTCCCATTTTTTATTAAACTGATTTCAATTCTTTTATTGTCAGTAACATACTGGATTTCCGGGCATGGTGTTCCATAGATTGTTCGTTTTAACTTTTTTTCTTGTAGCGTTCTTATTCCTCCAGTTTTCTGCTGTATTTAGTTCTGAAAAAGTTTATTAGTTAACTGTTATACATACTCGTAATTAAAAAATGTGTTAAATTGCAATGAGTTGGGCAAAATACTATACATACTTCATTCCATTGTAGCGTTCCAAAATATTGTAAAATTATTAAAATTAATTTAAATTTAAACTTTTAATGCAGTCGTATAGCGCATGCACGCGATACGCGGCGGGATAAACAGACCATTTTTGAGGAATGGGAGAAGGTATATGGCGGTCTTGTTATAATCGTAGAGACGTTCTGAATTATTATAGTTAAAACAAATTTAGTTTGAGAGACTTATTTAAGTCAGTGGGGTTGCGTGACTGAAAACAAAACGTAAGTTGCTGAAAGTAAAATATATTTAATAAACGTAAATAATTTTAGGTTTTTGGTTCTTACATTTTCCACAATAATTATTCCAGCACAGATTACAGCAGACAATAAAAAGCACATTATTTTGATAATGTGTTACATTTTAGGGCTCTCAATCCTAAGTGTTGGAATTTGATGTACGTAGTCAGCTCCTGATGCTGATAGGACGCAAAATATTATATCACCTGCAAAGTAACTAAAGAAAATCGTGTCCATTGCGATAAGAAGGAACGTAGCCGCCATAATTCCACCTGCGCTGCTCAAAGGTTTGAAAGTTAACCAAATCTGTAAACAGCGATGATTTTATGAATTCCCAGCCTTAATGAAATTAATCTATCGTTACCTTTGTTGGGATTTAATTGTTAATGTTATTTGTGTTTGTTGCCAATAATTTGTGTATGCTAGATTAGTAACGATTGCAAACGTGAATGATCATTCATCCGCTGCATTGAGCATTCAATTTAATACTTACCTGTTTAAATAAATTAATCAATTTATGCATATATGTTTATCAATATTGTCCGACTACCTGTCGTTGGGCAATTTAAAATAAGACAGGTTGGCGCCCACCAAACAACGAATAAGTAACAATAGGTAACCCACGATTCCAGCTTTCGAACCTTCGAGCACGGTCAGCATATATAACCACCAAAGTAAGGTTACACCATCTAGGGTTAAAGCAAATGAAAGGATAGAAACACTTTAACTTTCATTTTAATTGGTTAGTTAACTAATCTTCCTTATATATACAGGGTGAGTTTTTTTTCACTTCCACTGCAGGGATCTTTTAAACCGTAAGAGATACGAAGTCGGTTAAATGGGCAAAAAAACTGAATCTTTCGGTTTTTTGCCAATAACTTCTTTATTTGTGCTCAGAGCAACAAGAAACTTTGAATGGGAAAATTAATCAGCATACAATTCTGCATATCTTTGCCCATTTAACCGACTCTGTATCTCTTACGGTTTACGAGATCCCTATAGTAGAAGTGAAAAAAAACTCACCCTGTATATAACTCCAATAATAAATGGAAAATGTTATCAGATTAGTATCAGAACTAATATCCCAAGGACAGTGGTCATCCCGCCTTCATTTTTTATTTCTGATCCACAAAGTACATTAAAAATAAAAAGACCCGTATGTCCTCAGTTTTTATTTGCGAGTAAAATAAACCCAAAATAAATTATTGAAAAGCTGTGTTTTTAGTAGTACCTGTGACAGATGACGCAAGTTATAAATGCCATTCTCCTGCAATATTGCCAAGTCGTTATGTCATCTGAATGGTTCTAGGAGCTGATTGGTCGGGCTTATTACGTCACAGAGTCAGAGTCACAATCATATCGTTTTGAATAAACCTTTAAAACCGCACATGTTCATTATTTTCTTGCTAATCAGCCTCTATTTTTAAATATGTTTTATAGTTTCAGGTACCCGCTTATTAAATTAGAACTGCGGAATTCAACTATACTGTAAACCCCCATTGTGAAATAATTTTGGCAAATATCGAAAGCATATGTTGCTTAGTAACCGCCCTCCGCGGCGTCGGAAGGTTACTGGATTTACTATAAGCAACATGTTTGCGGAATTTGTTATAAAATTATTTCAGAATTATCACTGTTGGAGGGGTATTCGTCGGAAATTTTTTTGCAAATCGATTTCACACAATTATACAGTAGGTACCTATATTTGCTTTAACTCGTTTATATCATCGCAATCCGCACTTCCACATCGTGACATTTTGAAATATAGAAACTGTCAGGGGCATCGTTTCTCTGTCCCCTAAAGCGCTTTTCAGTATAATACGAATTTGATTGGCTATTTTGATCACATTGCGACAAATTAGCTCATTTTATTGGATTTCTATTTAGGCAAAAAAATTCCATTTAATAATAATTTTAGCTTAACGTTGTATCAAATTCGTTGGAATTGACTGTATACGCACTACAGAGCCAAAACAAGGATTTACAAAATATGATTTGTGAAGAAACGCTCACAAAGGTAGTCAACGCCTTCATTAGGAGTAAGTTGGAATATGGGTCGGTGGTATACACATCGGCGGCCAGATCCCAACTTAAAAGTATAGAAGGGGTGTGGAACAAAGCCATGCTATTAATAACGGGGGCATACCGCACATCACCAATAGACAGCCTTAATGTCGAAAATAATTCGTTACCCATTTACTTGAGATTCAAGCAGCAACACCTTAGGTATGCGGTAAAGGTACTTGCACAACCATCCCATTTCTTATTTGAAGTTATCAAAAACCCCATACTACAACCCAGATACGAATGGCAACAGACCAGAACTATACCGGCAATTGTGAAATTGAATAAAGAAATACGCGATTATGGAAAATTAGATGGAAACCTGTGGGAAGAAGAAACACCGGAAATTGATAGGAAAAAGGTCACCGATTTTCTTTTAAAAGAAATAAACAAGGATTTCGTTGTAAAATGGCAGGAAGTATGGTCGACAAAGGAAACACACCTTAGAGTAATCCACCCACAGTTAGAGGGGAAGAGGTGTACCAAATGGCAAATTAAAAGAAAAGATCAGATTGCAATAACAAGACTGAGAATTGGACATACTAGATTAACCCATAGTCACCTCCTATTGGGAAAGAGAAATAAAAAATGTGCCCAGTGCGGGGAAACCCTGACGGTGCAACATATTATGAACGATTGCATTAAACTAGATACCTATAGACATAAATATAATATATCCTTAGGGGTACTAAACAATCCTGTAAAATACACGGATGTAATAAAATATCTGAAAGAAATAAATATATATACAGAAATATAGATATATGGCAGAAGACTTACCTTAAGAGGAATGCCAATTACCAGTGCAGTAGACGCTTCCTCCGGTAGGTCTGGGTTGATCTGGAAGAGAGAAAAAAAAAAAAAAAATGATTTGTGAAAGATCAGTCAAATCTTTCATCAAGCACATTTTGCTAAAAAGATTATGGAAGCGTAAATTGAGATTTTGTATTGAAAACAAATAAATGGAATCTAAGGGTAGGGATCATTGCAATTATCTGACGGTATATTTATGAGTATGAGTGTGAAAAAAAGTATGTGTTCCCTGTTGATGATAAGTTATTTACAAAGTTTTTTTTATAACTTACCATATGTTTGTATGTTGCAGTCTTCTGTTTCTTGATTTAAAACATCTCCTAGAAAAAAAGAAACTTTCCGTAAATATTATAGATAGGTAAGTTATACTTCATCCAACGAATATTGGACGGTATTAACAAAAGTGGAGTTCACTTCACAAGTATTTGAATCTAAATAAATGTATCTTATTAAAAAGTTAACAAAAAAACATTATAATTTTTCTATCCGAAGAAATCGAATATTTGGGATATGTAATTAAATATGGTCAAATTGCACCAAGTACGGCAAAGTTAGAGGTTATAGAAAAATGTCCAGTGCCAAAAGATATGCATAAAATAAGGAAATTTTTGGGTCTAGTTGGACACTTCAGAAAATTTATACCACAATTTGTCCAGAAATCAAAACCGCTAAAAATTTCGCTTGTATTTGGGACCAAGCCCAACAACAAGCGTTTCTATCTCTAAAAAACTTCTTGACTAAGTCATCAATTTTGACTGTATTTGACAACACTAAGGAGACCATTCTTTATACTGAGGCCAGCCGAGTTGGGTTAGCAGGGATGCTAGTGCAAACTGAAAATGGCAAAGACAAAGTTGTAGGATATTACAGCAAGACTGCATCACCTACAGAACAGCGCTATCACTGTTTTAAATTAGAGGCTCTTGCTGAAGTAAAATCTGTACAACGATTTAGACACTATTTGATTGGAATAAATTTTAAAATTAGTACAGATTGTTCAGCTGTGAAGGGTGCCATTTCAAAAAAAGATTTAAACCGTCGCGTCGTATAGGTAGATGGATCCTGGATTTGCAGGAATATCAGTTCGAAGTAGTCCATCGTCCTGGGTCAAGTATGTCTCATATCAACGCGTTGAGTAGAAATCCCGTAGTGGATTGCACTAGATGGTATTTATGCTGTCTTAATAAGTCGGACCCGGACAGTTTGGCGCGGCCTCTTTGGCGCGGCCACTTGGGCGCGGCTCCTTTGGCGCCGGGACACTTCGGCGCTGGGACACCTCGGCGCCGGGACACCTCGGCGCCGGGACACTTCGGCGCGGGGACACTTTGGCGCAGAAACATGTGGGTTGTGAGGGAGACATTTAGGCAGCATGAATGTTTAGCACTCGGCATTGCACAATGTGCACAATGAGGTGGATATGAAGATTATTCCTACGCTACTGGTTGAAAGTGTGCAAAACTTTTTCCTTTTGGACTTTCTTTTACTTTCATAATAATGCAAGTAATCGCCTTTGAAGTAGAAAGTGCTCTTCAGTTATTTGTTGATGTTTAGTAGGTATATCGCCTGTCCAAACAAAACAATAGCATGATTCATATCTGCCCCAGAATAGGCACATTTAATCCATTTAAGACATAGTAACTATAAACGACCTCCAGATATCACTGCTATGCACAGCAAATAAAAGCAACTTATAACAAGGAATAAGCTACTAAAGGAAAGTGGCTAGTCATTTTGCACGCAAAAGGTACCTATTTAATTATCACGAATAAACATATGTACCTACATAAATATATGTTACAAAAAACTTAATGTAATTCATAATTGTGCGCAATCCCACGCAGAAATTCAAGTATATTATCATTATTGTAGTTTAAAATAAGTCTGGAAATACGGTTATCAATTTCCCTATATTTGCGTTTTTTTGGTGATGGTTGATGACCAGCAAGGAGTTGTTCATAGCGAACGTCCCTTGCAATCTGAATTTTTCTTAAGGCAACAATGAATTTCCAAATGGTTGGATGCTCCATTCCCAATTCTATTGTAAGCCTACGGTGCGCTGCTTCGGCGTAATTGTTCGTACGATCTTCGCCGTCTAACACTCTTTGATGCAGATTCCATGTCTCTGGTCCGAACAGGGCTGGACGCCTGCCAAGCCCTCTACGATTTCTGCGACCGATGTAATTGTCCTCAAACCAATCTACCAAGGGTTGCAAATCATCGGGAAGAGCTTCCGAAATAGCATCAAGGGCGTTTTCCAGGTCGTTTATTGGAACAAAGGCCAACGCGGGTACCATTTTTGCGCGCAAGGAGAAATTAGCATCATTATTGTAGTTTTGAATCAATCCTAATTCACAAATTTTTTTCTTTACGTTGTGAGTTAGGTGGTAATAGCAACCGAATATATTTGCATCGGGAAAGCATCCTTGAAATGCAGTAATGGCGGCTGCTTCAAAATCGCAGGAATACGATCGAGGTTGAAAGTTGGGCTCTAATTCTATTAATGCTCGAGAAACAATCTCACGTACGTAGCGCCCTGTTTATTTGGCAAAAGGGCATATATGATTGGATGCACTCCACCATGAAGTCGTCCAAGTATAGTATAAATTTGCGAAAACAAATGTGGAGCTGTTTTGAAGGTGCCGTCGCCATAGAAGGTATCACTGCTACGTAAAATGTGTAAATTCTGTCGACGACCAAAAATCAATATCCTCATTTCTTCCGGTCCACTGTCATATAACAAAAAATTTTCTTCTATTCCATTGTCAAATGCATACATTTTGAATTCATCTGGAATTTGTAGCGTTTGCAAATTCAGTGGTGCTGGAGGGGCTGCATTAACTTCATTTCTCTTGCGTCTTACAGTTTTCTTGAGAGCTCCCAGTTGTGGAAGAGAAGCCTAGAATGCACGAGTGTTGTATTACAAAACAGCTAATAATTAATATCATGGCTTAGGATTTTTATGCATTTGAAAGTGCATGATTGTAATTGCATACGGGTGTTCATTTTAAAACTTCCCACCACGGATTTATCGAAAACCACTGATTAAAAGAAAAAACTCCGAGACACGTCAAAAGATTTGTCTAGGGGGACAACTTTTTAACAAAAAACTACTTCACCCCCTTTCAGCCTTTGTCCCTCAGGGTCATTCCCTTACAAATTTTAAATGACAAGTGGTATCGAGTGAGAGCTTGTTTGAAAGGTCTTTCGAAGTCCTTTCTTTTGACGTTTGATTTTTTAAAATCGGTCGATTTATTTAAGTAAAAATTTTTCTAATTTTCTCCAAAACGAACGACCGATTTTAAAAAATCAAATGTCAAAATAAAGGACTTCGAAAGACCTTCTGTCACTTTTCTGTATATATACGTAAACTTAACTTTACAGAAATATATGAAGTGATTCCATTTTTTACTAATCAAAGAAAAAACTTCTTTCAAATTTTTCAAGATAAAAATCCATATTTACTCACAGCAGGCACATTTACAATTTAAAAAAATGTATGTCCTTATATACTGTACCTAATGCGTTTAAATTTGACTAACAAATAGTTTCGGTAGGGTTTTATATTTTTTCTTTGATTAGTGTAATGGGCGTCTTACACTAACATTTAAAAACAAAACCTACCATTGCTGCTTGAGATATTCCGGTGATGCACTCGTTGATAACTTGTGAAGTACATTCTTGGGTGTTCACAGCACGTGCCTTGATACGGGTAACAATTTCAGCTGCTTCAATGCTTGACGCAGAAGCATCGTGATTATGTACATTGAGCAATTTAACCACCTCGTTGTTCCTTGTATGTAATCTCGCCTTACATTCATCTTTATTGGTGCACCTCCAAAATGATGTTAGGCCGTCTTTACTTAGCTTATCAAATGTGTATGAAAAACCGTCAGACACAAATTTGTTTCTCCCGCGTACTGATATAATTTCGCGCTCGCGATTCATGTCTAATTATCACAAAACAAAAAAGAGTTTAAAAAGAACCTGAGGAGATCAATCGACAGTATTCTACAACTGCTACAAGGAACACACAAAAGTTGCAAACAGAGTCGAACGGGAAACTAAGGCAGATAATCAGGGTAGGTTTAAGAATGAGTCAGTATAGGTAATACAGGTTTTTCCCAGAGACTTGTTATAACTAGACCGCGCGTAACGTAGATTTTACTATAAACGCCTGTTGTCAAGATACGATAGGCAACCAACTGTTCATCGCGGGGCAGACGTACGTCCTGCAGCTTGCTTTAGCCATGTTTATTCTAAATTTTAGTAGCAAAAAAAGATAACATATAGCTGTTAACTATTTTAATCGAATTTGTTGGTATTTTATTTGAACTAAATTGGTATATAACTGCCTTACTCTAGTCCTAATTTGATTTATATGTGTATTTTGGTGGTGAACACGTATGGGAAAATATACTCTTAAAACTAAAGATGTAAGTAGTAAGATATGATTATTTAGCGGATTTTGATTCAATATAATGCCTATCCAAAAACCCAAATTGTAACTGTAACTGTTATTTATTTTTCTAAGACTGCTGATAACCATTTTGTTTACAACGCGGTGTGGTGTGGATTGAATGAATAACCTGAACACATTTTCAGCAATTTGGCAAATTTTTAATGCATCGTTTGATCCGTACAACAATCCTCCCTTTAAACTTTTATTCGTGGAAAATCAGCATATTATTTAAAAATTTATCGACAGAGTAAATGTTGATACGCACAAGTTAACCTAAGTTTATTGGTTTATTCTCAACAGAAATTTATCTGTTCACTAATTCGAGCTAATCACGAGAATGATTAATGAACGGAACATCTAAAATAACAGCTTATTTCATTATATTGCATAAATCATCTCAGCGATTTTGCCCCGCAGTGCATTGTGTGTGGCATACTGTGTCGACAACACCTTAGATACGTTAAGCGCAGTCTAGTTATAGCAAGTCTCTGGTTTTTCCTAATTACCACAGTCGGTCCTAATGGTGTAAATATTTTTATTTGTCGGCAAGTAAACAATAGAATATTTAACAATACCAGAAATGTGCACCTTCTGCTTATTTTGACACATTTATTACCTACGGTGGTGTATATCTTAAAGAACTTATGTCCCTTGGCCGTTTGCACCGGCAAATTTAAGCGGAGCTTAGCATAAGCATAGATTAAAATCCATGGCAACCCGTTGCGACAATGGTCGCCGTGGGTTTTTAACGACGCTTAAGCTAAGCTTTGTCGGTGCAAACGGTCATAACAGAAGTAAGTAAACTATTTGTGTGTCAGGTAAATTTCATCTAATTGTATATCATCAATAACGATTAGGTTTTTATATGTGTATAAATTTCTGGCGCCAAACTGCCTCGGTGCCAAAATGTCCCGGCGCCAAAGTGTCCCGGTGCCAAAATGTCCCGGCGCCAAAGTGTCCCGGCGCCAAAATGTCCCGGCGCCAAACTGTCCCGGCGCCAAAGCGGCCGCGCCAAAGCGGCCGCGCCAAAGTGGCGGCGCCGAAGTGGCCGCGCCAAAATGTCCTAGACCGTAATAAGTGAAAACGATTGGATTTTGGCTACGCAAAAACAAGATAAAGATATAAGCAGTATAAAAAGAATACTACAATCAGGAGAAAGAAATAGTAACATAGCCATTTTTAACGATTACGACTTAAGAAAGGGTATAGTCTACAAACACACTGAACATGGAAACCGTGCTGTTTTACCGAAAGCATGTCCATGGCAAATACTTAGATACAACCACGGTGATATTGGGCACTTCGCTTTCGACAAAACCTACGAGAGGATTTCTAGTAGTTTTTGGTTTCCTAAAATGCGAAAATTTGTTCAAAAATATGTAGACTCTTGCATAAACTGCATGTACCATAAAGTTCCTGCTGGTAAGCGTGCAGGGTATCTACCTCCAATCAAGAAAATACCAAGGTGTAACGCCACTTATATTATTCGAGGGCAGTTGTTTCCCTACGAGCCAAAGTCGTGGCAGAAGGCATGGCCGCGTTCTCGCCAACTACGACAGGCGTCCCATATTGTTTTGTTTTTGTTTTTAGAGAGTTCTCAATTAATTAAATAGTTATTTGTTTCATTAGTACAAAAAATGTCAGTTTTCGGGACGAGGAAGATAGTTGCTGGACGACGCCTCACGGCTCGCCAGTCAACTTCTCCTATCGCCAGTAAAAACTCACTTACCTGGCTAATAATGTAAAATACTATTAATAGCGTTATATCCTAACGCTACTAGAATACTGCAACCTGCAGATGTTTCGAGTTTCAAACCTTAAAAAGTTGCATGGAAAAAAGGATTAGCTGAGTGGAGAAGATCTAATCCTTTTCAACAGCTAACAAAGGAACACTTCGCTCCCATTTTAAGTGATGCATTAAAACTTCTGAAACCAAATACTATAATTAATGGATTTAGAGCTTGTGGCCTTTGTCCTTGGAACCCGAATGCAATAGACTACAGCAAGTGTCTAGGAAAGCAAACAGAAAGCACCGAACTTATTGAAATACCCACTACGGTAAAAGAAGATGGAGTAGAAGTACTTACTTATTCTGAATTTCGCGAATGTTGTGGTGAACGTATTATAACTGATCTGGAACAAGAGAGTAAATCTGGTAGTTCGCAATTTAAATCTCCTGAATTTTGTGCACTCCTAAATATGTTTAAAAAATTTAATTGCGTCTCTGATTCTTTGTCACAAGTAACATCTAAGAGTTCAGAGGATCAAGTAGTTACGACTAATGATACTGATGATTTAAGTGGTTGGGAAACTGCCGAATTAATTGAAAGCAGTACATCGAAAGATATTCCTAGTGAAATGGACGATAGAAATTACATGGAAGAAGAATTACAGAACAGCACCGAATCTATTGAACCAGGCACAACTCTAGATCACCTTAGTGAAATGGAACGTACAAGCTACACAGAAAAAGAAATAGACAATATGCCAGTCACTTTTCTCGACGAAATGGACACCGTGATTGTACAAGCCGAGCCATGCGAAGATACAAAGAATGGGAATTCAGACGCAAATACCTCTTCAATAAATGAGCAGCCACATACATCAAACGCTAGTAATAGTGAAATTACCTTTAAATCACATCTTTTGTGGCCAAAGAAAAGGAAAAAGGGATAGCCAAAGATTACCGTAGGGGAGAGTGGTACACAGTGTTACGTCGTCCACAGTGAAACATCGGAATTTATTTTTAAATTTGGCGCGTCTGTTTCATGCATGTAAGGAAATATACACTTGCTCAATGATGATGAATGTTATTTACGAGTGTTCACGACGTGAACTTCACGTGTTACAAGAAAGGTGCGCGTATAATAAATGCATTTTATGTTTTTTCATGGTATGTAGTAACATAATATGACTACTAAGCATGCATTTTTTGCTTCCTTCACAACCAATTTTAGACATTCTCGCTATTAAACTAACATTATTACTATCTAATAACATAACCTGCAACAGGTTTGTGAAGGTAAATCATACACACCACAGAGTTTAAAATTTTACTACATTTGAATGAGATGGGTACACAGTTACACACTGAAACAGTATTCGGTAGTACACAGTGATACGCGTTTCAATGTGTACCACAATTTTACAACTTAAATCGAAAATTTGTTTTTTGGTATTTCAGATGGTTAGAAAGCAAAAGCCTAGGCAAATAGGAAAAACATCTGTAGATGTAATGACTGCTACTACCAAGTTGGTATTAGAAGAGAATTATTCTCTACGTAGAGCTGCTGAGGCATACGATATCAGCTTTATAACTTTACGGCGATATGTTTTAAAAAAACGGAGTAATCCTGATGCCGATATAAAAATGTCACCCAACTATAGTGTGAGACAAATTTTGACTGAGGAACAGGAAGTACGATTAGCAGAGTACATCAACACCTGCAGTAAAATGGCATATGGGTTGTCTACAAAAGAATGCAGAAGGCTTGCATGGGAGATGGCAGATGTGAATAAACTAAGTGTTCCCATATCGTGGACAGCAAACAAACAAGCTGGAGTTGAGTGGTTACGACAATTTATGAAGAGACGGAAGAACCTTAGCATTCGTCAACCGGAAGCTTGCAGTTTAAGTAGACTTACATCGTTTAATCCACACAACGTGAAGAAATTTTTTGACCAACTAAAACAAATATTTGAAAAAAAACCTCAACTAGTCGATCCCTCCAGAATATTTAATCTGGATGAAACTGGGACAAGCACTGTGCAGAAGCCTAGAAAAATTGTAGCTGAAAAGGGGTCAAAACAAGTCAGCCAGTGTAGCAGTGCTGAACGCGGAAGCTTAGTAACCAGTTGCGCAATTATATGTGCTAATGGGACATACCTTCCACCAGCAATGGTTTTTCCAAGGAAGTATTTTAAAACACACATGGTAGCTGGAGCACCTCCGGGCACACTAGGTTTAGCAACTCCCAATGGATGGATGACAGCTGAACTGTTTTCAGCAAGGTGGCGCGCGGGAACGATCGATTATGAATCGATTAGTATTATTGTAATTGGAACCATGACAACACTTTGTTGACGTGGTTGTGTGTAGAAAAGTTCGCCATTTCATTTGCGATGGAAAATTGGACTGGTCAAGAACGTGCATTCGCTGTGAATGCATTTTACAAAAATAACGACAGTTATGAGCAAGCAAGACGCGATGTCGAGTGGCCCGCCAGGTTCCCAAATCTTTCCTGATTTTGATGTTGTTCATCACCACACATAATACACATTTTCTTTTCCATTATACATTTATGTTGTTCTTTGTTATTGTAAGGTCTATTGCACTTTTCACAAAAATAAGATGATCCTAAGAAAGCAGGCATGCTATTAATAACATTAAAGTGATTTTTAATTTTATACAAATATATTTTAATTTCTTTATCAGAACCTCTATAGATAACAGAGTTCAAATTCTCTGAACAGACAACATTAATTTGAATATTTAACAGTTCTTCGACACTTTTTATATCATCTAAAGTAAAACCTTCCTTATTATATTCACACAATCTGTTACATAATATAGTAACCAATTCTCTCTGTAATTTATATTTATCACCTACTCTAATTTTTTTAATTTCATTATCTGTCAACTCCCTTTCTAAGATTATATATATATTTTTTTTTTAAATATAG